TCACAGAACTAATTCTATTTCTGTTTGTTTTATTGCAAAATCCACAGTGGGATATCCAGCCCAAGAAGATGAAATAACTACTATTAGAGAAAAAGAACGATCTATGTACTCAAAGGGTGCGAAGTTATATAAATCCCTGCGACAGCATGGGATCCTTATCTTATCACAGCAAGATCAAATGTCCCCATCTCTGACCCTGACCCTTCCAGCAGGCAGTGATGGGCGGGACATTGTTTCCCCACTAAGCTATGTGCCCCGGTACCCCGGGAATAGAACCCACCAGCTTCCCTCTACTTTAGGAAACTGGAGCCTCTGCTCCCTTCACCAAACACCAAAATTGAGAGCTGCCACTCAACACCCCCATGACTCACCACATACTTACTTATTGTCAACTGCCTCCCACTAATTCTCAACTTTTGCCTATCATAAAATTATTTCTGGCATACTCTTGTGTGTCTTGGTTTTCTACAATGCCCCAGAGACTCCAAAATCCCATTTTAATGTGGCTCCAACTCCAGGCTAGGCTGAGGTATATGCACACGTTGATGAGTTTTCTGACCATTTTGCTTTAAAAAAAAAAAAAAAAGATGGAGGACAGAAAAGACAATGAATGATCTGAGTAGACTGAGGCACTGAGTTACCTCCCTTCTTTGGATCTCCATCCATCCCCACCAACTCTAATGTGAAGGGATTGGAACAAACCATTTCAAAAGCCCTTTCTAGCTTTCTGAAATGAATGTTCTCTAGCTATCTGATTTTCCTTTTGTTCATTGAACTAACATCGCTGAGATGGGTGTTGATTAAGCTGTAGCCCCAAGGTGGAAATCAGCTCTATTCCCAGGGAGCACAGGTCCACAGTGAGAGGAGACAACAACACATTTTAAAAGGTGTACTTAGCATAGCAAAAGGACCATAGTAGCCCCCCAAAAGCTTGCTCCCTACACCACCTTCGCAATCTCACCAGCAGAGACTTCATTATTTCAGTTTCTCAAGCACAAACCATTAGCATTGGTCCAGACTTCTCCCCTTCTCTCCCACACTCGACCAGCATTAGGTGATGTTGGTACGTCTTGCAGACATCTGTTAGAATCTGACAACGTGCCATCACCTCCATGGCTGCTGTACTGATCTGACCCTCGATTGCTGCAATATTCCTCCTCACTGTGCTTTCCTGCCTTCCACCTAGTGTCCCTCAATCCCTCGAGCGAGCAACGTGTCTAAAATACGAGATGGACCCTGTCACCCCTCGGTTCAGAAGCCTTTGCTACTCAGCTGCAGGCTTGCAAAGGCCTGATCTCTGACCTAACCCTTTCCACTTTGGCTCTTGCTGGCTGCTCTTTGCATATGCTAAGCATCCTTGACCTTTCCTTCTGCCCATAGTGACCCCTTCCTGCAGACTGCAGTCAATTATCCCAAATCTTAGTGACTGAAAACAACAATAAGCAGTGTCTCACAGTTTCTGAGGGTCCAGAATTTTCCTGAGTGGTTCCGAATCACTGTCTTTAATGAGATGATGGTCAGCCAGGACTGCAGTCTCCTCTGAAGGCTGGCTGGAGCTGGAGGATCTACTCACTCCCACATCTGGCTGTTGGCAGGAGGTCTCATTTCTTTGCCTCATGCTGCCTGCGTGTCCCTGCGGGACAACTGGCTTCCACCAGGATGATGATTCCAAGACAGCAAGGCAAAAACTGCTTCAGGTGACCTAGACAGAAAACCGCACATGATAACCTCTACCACGTCCTGTCCATTAAAGGGAGTCACTAAGCCCATCTAATATTCTGGGGGAGAAAAATTAATTTTCATCTTATGTTGGCAGGAATATAAAAGGATCTGTGAACACCTTCTGAAGTATCCAAGTTTCAAGGTTAGCCCCTAATCCTTCAAGTCTCTACTCCCCTGCACCTCGAAAAGATCTTCTCTGAATACTATAAACAAAATGGCTGCTTCTCTTCCCATTTCTCTGCCCGATGCTGCTTTATTCTTGCCATCATTAGTTGCCGTTCAGTAAGCCATATTTTTATTTACTTGTGTTACTTTCTTTTCCATCTAGCACATAAGCTCCAGGATCCAAGCAGGCATCTCTGTCTTGTTCACTTTTTTTTTTTTTGAGACAGGTGTTGCTAAGTTTCCCTGTCTGGACTCCAACTCCTGATCTTCCTGCCTCAGCTTCCCAAGTAGCTGGGAGACAGAGACCACCACTACGGCTACTATCTCTCTTTTCTTGCTTACTGCATCCCCACACAGAGCTAATCCCCCACGCACCATGAGCTTTCCGGGAACTGGAGTAAATGAATGAAGTTATCCCAGGTCACCGCAAATACAGGACGGGGCCAGGCTCTTCTATGAGAAGCAGAAATTAGGAGTTTGAGTTGTTGGGGAAAAGCCAAGATAATATCACACATGGATAGATGGGCAAGAGCAAAAGCCCTGAGATGCAGCCTCATCGTAGGGAAAATGGGATATGGAGGTTCAGGAAAATCACTACTGAATAGGACAGAAGGAAATTCTGAAAGCTTAGCGTTGGCAGGGTGGCAGTCTTGGCAGCCCTAATTAGAATCTCTGTCCCTCTCTGGCTTGTAATGTCTCCCTGGCTCTGCTTTTAAAGATGGATGATAAGCAGCTGACAGAGATGGATGTGTTTTTCTGCACTTCCTTGAATATTGACTGGGTGTGACTCTCTCCGCTGGAAATCTAAGGAGCAGGGGGCTTATCAAATGCATTTATTCTGAGTCATAAAACCACTCTTGATGCACTGGTGGCAGAGCCTGGTGGATGAGAAATGCTCATGCCTTTGATCAATGCCTGATCGAAGGGTCTGAAAATCGGTGCACAGGAAGGGAGCACCTGCATTGTGCCAAATATATGCATGACCTAACTCCAGGAAGTTGAGTGACAGGCTCTGCAAATGTAACTTCCTGTTCCCTTTTTGGACTCAAATAAAGAGGTAGGGCTTGTAGGTAACACGCAAGTGTTATTTGAAGCTTATGTCACTGGCAGCAGAGGGAATTTCAGGCCTTCATAGGACCTGCTATTTTAGGAGGCCTCACACCTCTTAGGTTGAGGAAGATTTGTTTGTAAGAAAGCAAAAGGAAAAAAATAAAAATCAAATGTAAATTTTTCTAAAAAATGGAAAAGCCACTTTCTAGACCTTTTTGTTTCCACAAATTATTTAACTTTGTCTTTGCAATAGCTCAACAATACATGGACTGATACTATTCCCCATTTTATAACTGAGGAAACCACACCTCACAGATTTTAAGGGAAGGATTCCAAGTCCTATGCATACTAAGTGGACAAGGCGGTGTTTGAATGTAGGTACACAGTCATCCCCTGTCCCTCCACTGGATGGATGGAACCCAGGCTATCACCATATAAAGTTTAATTTACAAATTATACATGGTACAGGATTAACAATAATAACTAATAACACAATACTAACAGTATACGATAGTAAAAGCTATGAGATGTGATTTCTCTCAAAATGACATATTATTCTTGCACTTTGCACCTTCTCACTTAAAATAAGCACTTTTTTGCTTTTTTTGGGCATATGCAAATTACCACATCATTATCTTATATTTTTGAGCCATTGTTAAGTAAAACAAGGGTTACTTGAACACAGGTGCCACAATACAATGGGGTCAATCAAATAACCAAAATGACTTCTAAGGGACTAACAGGTGCATAGTGTGTAGAGTGTGGAAATATTGCATACAGGGTAATTTATTTCATAGGAATGACACAGTGGAACAGTGTAATATTTCATCACAGTACTCAGAACAGTGAACATTTAAAATCTACGATCTGCTTGTTGTTGGAATTTTCATTTAATATTTTTTGTTTTTCAATTTTTTACCTAAATGAATACAAACAGATACTAATAAAGAAAATATAAAAACATCATTCTAACTTTTATAAAAAATAAAACTATTTTATGACAAAATAATTGGAGAAGAATAATAAATATACTATATATTGTGATTTTATTCTATTTTAAAGAGAATAAAACCAAGCAAAACAAAACAAAGCAAAGAAGTCAATCAAAACAAACTAGTGTAAGTGACACAAGACTTCAAAACATTAGGAAATCAACAATGGTTAATATCATGCCTATTGTTGTCTTCAAAATAGCTGTAGATAACTGTATCGTGATTTTTAAAAGAATAGTCAAAATGTTACTCAGAGTGCAAGTCACAGCAAAGGCAGATTCTGTCTTACAAAGAAGAAACAAAAGGGAAAAACTTTCTTTTCAACTAATAAAAGAATCTAGTAATATAAATGAAACAAATTAGGATTTATCTTAAAGTATTTTTGAAACAATAGATAATTCAGGGAACCATTTGAACTTCTTATTTCTTATTTATCTATCTTCTATTTTGTTCATTCTCTCTTCTCAGAGAGAAAGAAGGAGAGAGAGAGACAGAGAGAGAGAGAAAGAGAGAGAGATTCTCAGCTGATTCAGATAAATGAATCCTCAAAAAAGTGATAAGAAGATAAGGCAGAGAAGGACAATAAAAGTAGTAAAGTGCAGTTTGAGCCAATGAGATCATGCTTTAGTCTGTAATTATGTCTTGAGAAAGAAAATAAAATGCTGGCTTCCAGCATTTCCGGCTAGTTTAATCAGGATAGGATACAGTGTGCTGCAGTAACAAATAAACCTTGAAATCTGATTAGCTTAATCCAATGAAGGTTTATTTCTCTCTTGTAAAGTCTGACATGGCTCAGGCATCTCTGCTTCATCAAGTAGTTTGACCTTTCTGAATATAAAACTCCCAAGGTCACCATAACAGAGGAAGGGATGGGGGGGAGGCACATAGATCTTGATCACCTTGAACTACAAATGATATCAAATCACGCCACTCAGTGACAATTGGCCAAATGGAATCTCAAGGCCGGAACATAATTGGAAAGGAAGTTGAGAGATAGTAGAAAGAATGAATATTGAATGAACAGTGTCTCTGTGTATCCTGACACATTGCCTCCTCGTTTTTCTCCTGTAGGGCAGAGCCCCAGAGCAGCCCCATGGTCACAGCCCAAGATGGATCTTCAGAAAAGCTGGGCCAGCGCCTGGCCACAGAGGCCTTGGGCACGAACAGCTGGGAGAGAGACAAGGCCTGTCGGGAACTGGGTCCTGCCCGAGCACGCAGGTGAGAAGCTGTTTCAAGTTGAAGACACAGTAATAAACTTTGTCTCTCTGACCGCTTCCCTCCTCTCTTTTGCCTCCTCTTCTTTCATATCTTTAAATCCAAGATTAGTAAAATTTTTCTACAGTGCACCAAACAGTAAGTATTTTAGATCTGGGGACCTGATGGTCTTTGATATAACTACTCAACCCTGCTTCTGTGGCACAAAACCTATAGTAGGTATTATGCAATCAAATACGCATACCAAGTTCTAATAAAGATTTATTTATAAAGACAAGAGACAGGCCTCGCCTGGCCCATTGGTTGAGGTTGTTGATCAGTACCTTAAGTGAAAGAACTCTTCTCCATTTTTATGATTCTGTTAGCCTTTGATTCCCAAATCATGATTCAGCCTAGACTTGCCTCCTGGGTTCAGATCTCTGTTTTTATTCCTTAATTCCATTATTCGACCACTACTTTTTGAGCACCTGTGATGTGTTAGCAATTGCCAACACCGATAACATACCATCTTACCAAGCTTTAAATTCTCTTCTCCCGTTCTGGAGCTCTTGATGTACTAAGGCAGAGATTTGAAGCCATCCTGAGTTCTCACCTGAGAATTAACTGACAGCTATGGGTGTTGTCTCCAGGAAAAAATGTCTGTGCTTCAAGAATATCCTAAAAACTCTGAGTAGCATTTTAGAAGGCTCATAGACCCCACAGCTGATGAACAGGGACCCCTACAGATCCCCACTAATGAATGCTGAAGTCAGAGTAGCCGGTTAAGTTGCTGCTCTCACCCTTAACCCCCTCACCCACCCCCAGCCTGTGCTATCTCTGACTTCAATGAAGGGAAACTGGATCAGCTCTTCAGAAGTGAAGTTCAATATCTGATCTGGAGAGTACTTCCCAGGAGACAGGAAGAAACTGTTTCTGTGAGAGGCTGAGGAAGATGGAGAGAGAGGAGGAAGGGAATTTCTGAACTTTTTTTTCTTGCTTTTTTTTTTTTTTAATTTAAGGAGAAAAAGAAAAAAAAAACAGAAAAAGGGTACAAGTTATACAGAATTTCAGAAAAAATAAACAGTAGGAAATCACTAGTTAATAGATTACATATTGTAATCTTAGAAATAGTTGTTCAAGTTACAAAATTAAAGCATATAAAGTAGACTTTCAAACAGTGAGACTGCAAACAGTTCTGTTCAATGATTCAACAAAACTCAGTAATGTGGTTATCTATCTTATACACTTAAATATACATGTAGTTATATTCTTTAGAGCACTTTCTTTTCCTTTCTTTTGTACAATGACAACTACACATTTTGGGTTTTATTATTCCCACAGTTCTTATTACTTTTTTTTGAAGAGAGTAAGACCAAATGTGACATAACAGAACAGAGTCAGTCAAATCAAAAGGATGGACATAATAGATAATGTAAAAACAAAATACTAGGTGATCAACAATGGTTACCATACTGCCTCTTGCTATCTTAAAAAGAACTGCCTATATCATCAGTTATAATATACAAAACAGTAAAGAATAAAACCAAAACATTGGAGACATTACAGGACTTTAAAAGAAGATAATAGTCAACCAGAATGGGCATCATAATGAATCTTATTGTCTTCAGTTTTGCCTATACTTTTGAACTTGGTATTATCAAGCAAAGCAGAATAGAGGAAAATCAGTCAAAGCAAGATGTTGAGGGCTACACAGAGTTTCAAATCAAGTTAATAGGAAATCAAAGTAGGTTACTATAATGTATCCTGCTATTTTTTATTTTTCCCTTAATTAAAAAGATAAAAATAAAAAAGTAAATAATTTTTAAAAAGGAGATTTAGATAAAAGAGGGCATAACAATAAAATAGCGCAGATCAAAGCATAACCATTTAAGCAAAATAGTGTTTCACCACAAGATGTCCTGACATAAAAGTAGTTATCATAGTGTCTCTTTCCTTGAAATCTTTGAGTATAACTTCGTATACTATTGCACCCAACTTATCAAGACAATGCTTGCAAGGCAGGTGCTTATGCTACTGAGCTAAATCCCCAGCCCCTTTGGAATTTCTGAACTTTTAAAACAGCATCTTCCAAATGGCTAAAGGGATACAATAATTTACATGTATTGTAGAACCTTGTGAAGACATTTGGACTCTGCCATTGACCAACGAATGAATATGGAAACATTCTTTATTCTCATTGAGCCTCAGGTTTCCTAAGTATAAAGGGGGAATATTTAAGTCTCATTATCAAGGGCACGGTAAGGATTAAATTAGGTCAGGCATATATAAGTCCTTGTGGTAGGTCTGGAACACAGGAAGTCCTTTAAAAAGCTTAGTTGGAGCCTATGAAACCATTCTGGACATGAAATCTGAAAACTGCTGCCATGTTGCCAACTGTGTTATATAGTTTTAATCTCTTCTGTGACTGACTGTGATGTGTTAAAAATCACAATAATACTGATAACATTAACAGTGATAAAAGTCATAATACTACAGTCATGCACCACTTAATGACAAGTGTACATTATGATTACTTATACTTGAGAGATTTCATCATTGTGCAAACATCTCAGAGTATCTTACACAAACAAAGATGGTATCACCTCTGCACACTCAGGCTATACCATATATATATACACATTCTCATAGGCCATGCTGACGAAAACAGTACAAGATTAAATCAATTGCAAAAAAATGAGATAAATATGAAATTATTAGATCGTGTTGGCCTAACACAGCATATGGTACAACTTTCTCTTTATAAATAAAAGTACATTCTAACAATAAATACATGATATTGTAAATACACATCAGAAAACAGTAATTATTATCATTATCAAATATGATATAGTACATACAGTTGTCTGAGCTGCGATTCTATATGCCTGGCAGTGCAGTAGGTTTGCCTACATCAGTATCACCCCCACCATGCACGCACACACACACACACACACACACACACACACACACACACACACAAGTAATGCATTGGGTTGTGATGTCACCAGTCAATAGGAGTTTTTCAGCTCCATTATCATCTAATGGGACTAGTCTCCACTAGTCTCCATCACTGATCGAAAGGTCATTTTGTGGTGCGTGACTGTAACAAAAGATCCTTTTACTATAAACATACTCTGTGCTCAGAGCACATTCCACAAGGCAGCTCCTTATTCCTGGCAAAAACTTATGACCCCACAACCACGTTTTATTTTCAACTTTTAGATGATGAAAATAAAATTCAGGAGGAAATAGGAGAACTTTGAATCCAGTTTCTGCTACATTGTTAGTATTGCATATTTATCCAGTGGGCGGTGAATCACTGCATATTGTGTTCATTGCTTTCTCGTTACTGAGACACTCAACACCCACGATTTGAAGACGTTTATTTTAGCTCACAGTTTCAGTGGGTTCATTCCATGGCTGGCCAGTTCCCAGGCAGGATGGCATGGAGGAAGGGCTTGGTGGTGAGAAGCTGCTTATTTCATGGTGACCAGGAAGCAAAGTAAAGGAAGAAGCCAATAAGAAAAATACACCTTTCTGGGTCACAGCCTCAGTATCCACCTCTTCCAGCCAGGACCCACCTCCCAGCACATTCAGCCTCTGACCTCACCAGTAAATGAATCTACCCTCGCCTGTAACCCACCTATGATCAGCCAGCCACCTTTCAAAAGCCTCACTTCCCAGACATGAGAGTTTTAGGGAGTCATTTTTTTTTCTTCTGAGACAGAGTCTCACTATGTAGTTTAGACTGGCCTTGAACTCACTGTGTAACCTAGACCATCCTCAGACTCACAGCGATCCTCCTGCCTCACCCTGCCAAAAGCTGGGATTACAGGTGTGCGCCATCCTACCCAGGGGGTCATTCTTGATTTAACCCTGACACGTATACAACCACTTCATACCTAACCAGTATAGATTTCACTACTGCATACACAACCATGACCCAGTAATCATCACTATATACTTCTCTTTAGCCTACTCCTCTGCCTGTACTTAACTACTGCATTTTATCAGTATAAAGTTAGCTGGTACACAGGTATCAAGGGTAGTCATTGTACTCGCCTACTGTGCCTATAACCACAGCGTATGCAAGCATTGCTTGCTCTGCCTCTGCACACATAACCATGGTGTACCTCACCCCCTTCCATTCCTCTGTGCTGCACACCTAGAACTAGTGCAAGGGGAAAGAAGTAGAGGAAAAGTGGATCCGACCAGGACAGGGAATTCAGGAATTATACTACTTCACATACTTCAAATCTGTCCAAAATTAACAATCTTCTCAGGTTTACACCATAACTTTAAAGCCAATTCTTGGATAGCGGTTCTCAAACTGTTCCCTCCTGGGACCATGGGGTTCCAGAAGTTAAGAGTACTTGACTAAAAAGTGGGAAATCTTTCTTCAATTTACAAGACACAGTTTAAAAATCTTTTAAAAATTTTTTCTTACTCATTTCTCCCGTAATATTTTTCCTCTCAAATTCCTGGCAGCTACTGCACTGGGAAATGTTCGTATGAAACATGATGGTTTAACAAGTAGCTAAATTATTTTTCCCATTCATCCCTCATTTGGTCACTTGACAGATATTTATTAGACTCTTGCTCTCTGTCAAGCACTCTTTGGAGAAAAAATTTGGAAGTGGCCCACCACATTTATGTAAAGCAGCCTGTCTGCTTCTGGATATGTGCACAATTCTTTGTGTAAGTGGGATTAAGTAGCTAGGTCTTTTATTCCTATGATACTTGGGTTTAGTCTGCTATAAGTGAGTCTATTGTAAGGATTACATATGTATAAGTGTATATATATAATTCTATACACACACACCTATTAGAGATGCAGAGACTTTTCACATATATTCTAATTACTTTAGCATTCTTCTGTTAAGCCTATTGACCTAATTTTTTTAATAATTAAATATGGAAGTATTTTATGATGGTCTGTAGGGAGTTGGGTAATTTGTAATTTTGGCCACACGAACAAGTTTGAGAAAACACCTGATTTTCTGAGAAAGCTTTTGGGGCACGAATCTCCTGGGTTCCAGCCTCACTTTTGATAATTCCTGATTTTGTGGTCATAGACAGGTCAAATCAACTTTCTGAACCTTGTTTCCTTCATCTGTAAAATAAGATAATAAAAACACCACCCTTAAGGCTTTTGGTGAATAGCAAAACACATAAAAACTCTTTACAGATAACAAATGCATATATGCTAGTTTAGTTGCTACTAAAACAATGATAATAATAGTATTAATTATATATTTTCCCCATAAGATTCAATTGGGTAGGCATGTTTTAATTCCCAAGCAGTCTTTCATCCAAAACCATTCCTCTTTGCTATGGGATAGTGTTTAAAAAAAAAAATTCCCTGGAGCCTGTCCCAATTATAAAAGAAGATAACTTGGCTTCATTTAACTACAGCCTGAGCATTTGAATTTAATTGAACGGGAAATAATTATTCCTGAAGAGCAGAGGTTTTTGAGGCTCCGTAAGGTGATATAAGATATGTATCTCATTACATTAAACCTCAGCAAATATACTTTTAGTAATCAGCTGCTACTTAAAATACTTTCGGCCTCCTATTAAATTTCCAACAGGAACTACAGACAGGATGGCTCTGGGAGGGAGGGGGCTGAACTGCCAATTAATTATTTAAAAAGTGACTTATTTACCGAGGTGAACCATTTGCAAATTCAATAATAAATCTATTAGGGAGTAGTTAACCTCTATAACTCTGTTTTAAATAATCAATTGGTGTTTGGTGTCCTTCTCATTAGGTTGGCATTAAGCCTTTATTTGAGGCACTTAATCTGAAGTGTGACCAAGTCAGCCATGAGGTGGTAATTAGGTATTTGCTATGGGTCCCTGATCCTCCAAAGAGCTGGGTCCTTCCCTTCCCGGGCTGCTGCAGCTCTGATTGAGGGGTTGGGGAACCTTTGGTCTTCTGATGCCACACCTATTGCTGCCCCACAGTGCCTCCCATGACCGAGACTTGACTCCACCGCCTTCTTCCAAGGGGAAAAAGAAAAAGAAAAAATCAACCCGGAAGAAGAGAAGGAGGTGAGTTCAAAAGGGGAGAGGAACCCTTCAGGATGGGAGAAAAAGACAGAAGAGGGACAAATAATGTGGGTTTTGGAATCCAACAGAGACACCTCGTTCGAGTTCAGATTATCTTTTTGTCTCTTAATTAGCTACATAACTTTGGACTCCACTTCTCTGGGTGTTTTTCCTTTTCTACAAAATGCTAACAGTAATTGCCATGTGAGAAAGTTTTGTGAGCATTAGATGGGAAATGGAGGTAGAGGAAACAGCTGTCACAGTGCTGGGCACATAGTAATGACCAATTCATGTGGAGTAAAGTCATTACCATAAATACTGAATTTTTAAAGTACTTGCTTAATGCAAAGGATTATGCTAAGCACTCTGATATGCATTATCTTTTTACTCCTGGCCAGCATCTCCAAGCAACCCTTGTAGAGATGACAAAAGAAAGATTCAAAGAGGGGTTTACCGAGTCTGTAGGGCTTGACATCCTGGTTCCTCAGTTCTTCCAATACACCCATCCACCAGCTTAAATTCCTAGAATAAAGGATGGACTTTATATTATCACCAGCTAGTGACTCTATACATTCTTTTCTATACATAATTGCTTTTCAACTTCTTGTATCTACTTTTTAAATTTTTATCTAGTTTTTTTTGTTGTTGTTGTTTTTGTTTGTTTGTTTGTTTGTTTGTTTTTTGGTACCCGGGGATCGAACTCATGACCTTGTGCTTGGCCAGGCAGGCGCTGTACAGCTGAGCCATATCCCCAGCCCTACTTCTTGCATTTAAATAGATTTTGAACTTTGCTTGTGGGCTGCCACTCACTAGAATGAAAACATGTTTATTTTTTCAGCCCCAGAGTTCTGGGCTTTATCCCGGAGGGCTTCCAGCTGAGAATTTCATCAAACCTTAGACATGGTATTTATAGAAATCTCCAGGGGGCAGCAGAGAGCAATGTCTGGACCATTTGGGCTTCAACTCTGGATTTTCTGGAACCCTGCTTTCTGGACATCCTGTTAGGCTAATTCTAAAAAGACAAACCCAGAGAGGACCTGAATGAGGACTCTGAGTTCCAACCATTATAGAGTAGGAGTGGAATTGAGGAATGTGGCTTGAGTTCCTGCTTTGGGGAGTTGGTAGAATTTCAAAGAAGGAAGCTGATCACAAGGATTCACTAACTTTTCATGCATTGAATGCTCACTGAGCACAGTTTTGGAGACAGATGTTTTGATTCCTTGAGGGACAGGACAGTTATTTCTCAGCCATCTCTCTCTGATGATATATCTCGTTTGACCTGCAAACAGCTCGTTTTTTCTTTTTAATTAGTGGCTAAAATTTAAAAATAAGATTTCATATAAAGTTATGGATTCCTGGAGGCTTCTATTGAGAAGGCAGGTGCTTTGGTGACCCAAGGTCCAGGTTCCAGACCCTAGGCTGATCTGAGCAGCAGCCACCCCTCCAGTCAAGTGCTCGCTGGTTCCTTACAGTGCCCATCACTCCCTTCAGTCCTCCACCAAGTCCGCGTTATGTTTTGTGGAGGCTCCCATGGGCAATGAGTTTGCAGTATCATTTCCAACCCTGATCTTTTGTCACTGGTAGAAATAACAGACCTAGACACAAGCCATTGTGTGCCTGAGATGATTCTGTTAGTTGGCAATAGAGTCAGAATTGGAGCTCAGGGTACTGAGCTGTCACCATGAATACAGGGCAGCTTTTTACTCAGCTACCCAAGTAGCTATGGTGTGGTTGCTCGGTGAGACTTTGTCCAGGGATTCAGTCTTATCAGGGATAAGTCTTATCAGTTTGTAATAGAGAGAAGACACACAGCATATATGAAGAGGGTCATTGCCAACTAGAAAAGTAAAAGTCTTAAGACGAGAGATTTCCACTTGAATCCTAGTTCAGTCACATCTTAGTTGTGCATCTTTAGAAAGGTCATTTCACTTCTCTGAACCTCACTTTAATTGTCTAAAAATAGAGGGTAACAATTTTACCTAACTAACAAGTATGTTGACAATAATGCATACAGTTGAAATAATGCATATAAACTACACAGTAATATTTGAGACAAATGTAAGCTACTGTCAATACTGAGATTACCCTTGATGGATGGTTCTCAGAGATCCAAGATCCTGGGAAGGGACTGGGGAAGTGATTGTAGAAGCCTCCCTATGAAGTGTGTTTTTCTCCCTACAGGTCCCCATCCTACAGCCCATCACCTGTCAAGAAAAAGAAGAAGAAAAGTTCTAAGAAACATAAGCGACGCAGGTATTGTCCTTCCCCCTCTACGGACATTGTCCCAGGTTGGGCAGAAGTTGGGGCATCAAAAGGTTATTTGAAAGCATCTCATTCCATTTATGCAGAATATTATATCTAATGTTTTGTTGTTTATTTGTGCCTGATAGAAGTTGGGACTCTATTTGGGAGGACCACAGGTAGCTAAAGCTAACTAGAGCCAGAACAGAGACTTGATTAGAAGAAATCAGGAGAGACACAGGGACCAATCAGGCCAGGGTGAGGGGCTGGGACCAAAGAGCAGAGAGCTAATAGAAGTCAAACATGGTTCAGCATTTCCTCTGTTTCCTGGTCCATGTAAGAGGACAAAGCCACTCCCTGACCCATTTCTCCATGCTGCAGGTCAACCCACAAGCAGACACCAAACTCCCTATCTTGTTCTGTGTTCCAAATTCCCAAGAAAAAGACTCTCATGGGGGATCCATCCACTTCACAGTGGGTTGGATAGTGTTGGAAAACATGGCTGCTTGGATAACCCACCCTTTTGGGCAGGGTGTGAATGGCATTTTGGCTGTAAGATAGTGTCTACACTCTGGTGAGAAGCCATCTGGCTTCTAGAATCCCATATTGAAAAGTTCCTCAAACTGGTATAGATCGTTCAGCCTTGGAAGGTGATAAAATGTCAGTCTACACTCACAGACATGACATTGACTCTACTACTGTAGGCCCCATGTGGAAAGATTGCTGATACCAAATTAAAATTTCATTAATTGCCCAAGTCTTACATTTACTGGTGTGTATCCTTCCAGTCCCTCTCCAGTTTCACAGGCTGTGTTATACTTGGAGATTTGCAATATGAAAATCCAGTATCATGGTTCCTCTGTGTAGAAAGTTCTGTCTTTGTAGGCCATTTCCCATAGGCAGCCATCACCTGACACCTAGTAGCTATTGTGCATTTGAAAGGAACAGCATTCCAGACTGTTCTCCTCAGTGATATACATTTCCCAAGCCCTTAGGTTAGCTGTGGATAATAGAAAAATGTGATTCGTATTTTATTTTGCTTATTTTTATCTTCTAATTATACTACTTGAATTGTGAATGATTTGTGTAATTAAACAACCATACAACCAAAGGTATGAGATCATTGGGCTTTTCATCTGCACCTGAAGTCTACTTCAGAGAGTCTCCAGTGTGGCTTTTCCCAAGCCAAGGTTGGTGTTCTTTCTGCCTGTGTTGCTAGACTGCCTTAAACCTAGATCTCACTGGTTCTGTCCATTGTCTGCCCAGCCTTTCTATGGATGTTTTCTGAGTTTCCTATAAGACATGGAAAAGTTAATGAATGAATGCAGAACTTGGGCATTTAGTGAAATCTTGTTAATTTGAATCTTTCCACCTTGGGGCCCATGGTGGTAGAGCCAATGTCATGCCTGTGAGTGCAGACTAACATTTTATCACCTTCCAAGGCTGAACAATCTATACCATTTTTCATTATGAGAATCCTGGAAGTCACATGGCTTCTCACCAAAGAGCTCATTCTCCTGAGAAAGAGATTTGACAGAAGTTTAGAAATAGATCTTTTCTGCCCACTACACAGTCAAAGGGTTGGAGCCTTATAAGATAGAGATGATGGGAAATATTAATGCAGGTCCTTCCCAATCTTCACCTACTCAGCACCTCCCTGCTCATGATCCAGCTCCTCCAATTTCATAACGTATTTGGTCAATGATAGTTGACTTTTATTCTTGGAAGTTGAAGGTAGGAATAGGAGAAGCATGGAGGTTTTTCTTTCTCTTAACTAACAAAGCTTAAGAGTTCTCTTTTTTTAAATCTTATTTTTCATATCTATTTATTGAGCACCCATTATAGTATCATGAATGAAGATTCTAGGATCCAGAAACAGAATAGTGACCAAAACCCAGCTCCTGCCCTCAAATTACTGACGCACTAGTAGGGGAAATGGGTGATTATAGTGAGCAGAAGACAGGCCTCTGATAAGGACAAGTTCAGAAACTTGCCCGGGGATTGAGAGAGCAGAGAGGAGGTATCAGCGAGTCTTAGGAACTTAGAACATGTTGGGCAGTGTTTCAGTGAGAAAAGGAGGTTGGAGCAGAGCTCTGAAGAACAAGTAGCATCTATACTGGTGAAGCCGTATGAACACGGGCAACTCACTAACACATCAATGAGCTTCAGTGTTTTTGTCTGGAGAAATATTTGTTAGCAGTACTCTGCAGAGTGTAGTGGAAGACTGAATGACCTTGTCTGTGATGGGTACTTAACTCAGAACCTGGCACACAGTGAGAATTTCATATAGGGAAGCTGAGGGTCTCAAGGTGATGAGAAGAAGAAGAAGCAGGAGGGGGAGAGAGAGAAATAATCCACAATGAAGAAGAGAGAAAATGAGAGGGAGAAGAAGAGACAGAGGATTCTTTTATGGTCCAACTTCATGCAGGACAGACTTGCTAACAATTGTGGGTGAGGATTAGAGCACTGATCAGCTTTAGCCTAAGCATTCAATAGGCAAATCAATAATGTCATCTTCACATTCTTTAACATCCAACAGAGGAGGAGGACTGGCTACATGTCCTGATTCCCGGGTAGCATAATTCCAAACGCAGTGATGCATTCATGCCAGAAGCAGAATCCCAAACTCACCCAAATTTTTGTCTCCCTTCCCTTCTTTTCTCACCCTTTTTCTTCCATCCCGCTTTTCCCTCCCTTTCTTTCTCCTATCTGTGCTTCTCTCCTTCCTTATTCTGTTCCTTTTTCTTTTCAATCAGGTCATTCTCCAAGAAAAGAAGGCACAGGTAAGACTCTTGCAAACTCTTGTTACGTGTTCAACCTTCATCTTCCCCAGCCGGGCTTTGGGCAGCTTCCTGGATTAGATCTCAGTCTCATCTTTGTGTTCCTCCAGTTTCCACCAGGATGAAAACATAGCTAGGTTTCCATGAATGTTTTAGACCAGCTTTTAAATTCCACTGAGCTTGTGATTGCCCTGGATTTGCCCCTCGGGATGTTCCTCCCAGGAAAGCCCCATCAGCTCTGTTTGAGTCTGTTTTTACCACTGGTTGAAATCTTGAGCTATCTATGCAGAACATCTGTTCCATTATGCCATCTAAACTTTCCAAGAGCTGACCAGAGAATGGGGAGCAAATCTTAGTGTACTGGAAACACCAAGTGAACATAAATAAAGCTTTCACTAGCGGAGACTCACTGCAGAGGAGACCCTGCACTGAGCCCCTTCTCCATGTGCATGTATTTAATCCTCATTAATTCCCATCATAGCTGTGTAGGGGATGGTTTAGAGTCCCTGATGGCGACACTGAGACTAAGACAGGAGATGTAATAGTCATGTCCATTGAGCTAGATGCCATCAGCACCAACATTCAGGCTCTAATCTATCAGAGAGAATCAGGACAAGTGTCAGTGGCTTCTTAAATAAGAGTAGCCACAGGTACAGTGCTTTTCTGAATTTGAAGCCCTGTCACTTACTCATTTAATTCATGATGCTGATTGCCAATGTCACCCACCCACTCAGCTCCACAGGCTGAACAATGGCTGTATTTCATGGTTGAGTAAACTGGGTCTTAGAAAAGACAAGTAAGTTGCTAGACATCACACAGCAAAGAAACAGCAGAGCTGGGATTTGATTCTGATCTTTCGGGAAATCCTGCCCTGTTCTGTGGCCAAGGCTGCATCTCAATGTGGAGACAGTTCCTACGGCTAACTTAAAGTTCTGAGACAGCTGGGTGAAAATGATTTCCCCTTCCAAGGACAGTGATGGTTCCTAGTGACCCTCTGAAGCCAGTCTGGCTCAAAGTAACAAAATAGCATTCACCTTCTTAGATCTCATTTGATTACCTGAGACCTTGAGTTCTCATCATCTGTTCTAGCTGCAGCCCAGCTCTCTGTCTCAGAATTTTTTTAAAAAAAAACCTGAATATTTGAATATGCATGGAAGGAACATTTCAGAATCTACTAAGTTCCATGGGTGTTAGATTTCTCTTCCCTTACAAATTAAACTAAACATCAATCAGAAAGTATGGACTCTGGGACCCATTGTCTGGGATCCCTTTCCAGCTCACTTCTATGATCCTGGACATGTCTTAACCAATCAAGGCTCGGTCTTCATGTCTGTAAAATGGACCTCATTAAATGACCCTTCCTCCTATAGATTGTGGAGACAGAACAGTACAATGAGTTTTCTGATCTAAAGTATTTAGCAGAGTCCAACCTATCATGGGACCTCCAAGAATGAGATTTTCCTAGTATTACCTTTATTACCACCATGACTTTTAACTTACCTCAGCCCCCCATTTTCAGCATGCATGTGTGAATCAGGGTCCCGCTCAGGGCTTGCTGCACGAAAAAATTGGCAGCAACTTCTCTGGTCTTGGGCAATGATCAGTGTCCTTCCCCAAACTGCTTGGATCTAGAGACTCACTATATGTTCAGCATTTTAACTACTTGTTTATTTTTATCTTTCATTGCATTTCAGGATATTTTTTTTTGCCTCTTTCAATTAACTGGACGTTTCTTATTTAGCTCCTCTAGCCCAAAAAGCAAAAGAAAGGAAGTGAAGAGGCACAAAAAACAGTAAGTAGACACTATCTGGAATACACTCTCCAGTTTGGGGATCAGAGTCTTGGCTTCTAGTAGCTAAAGTGATAGTTACCAACTACACAAGAAAAGGGGAGAGGGGTAGATAATTTAGACCAAGGAAGTGAAAGAAGGAGAAAGTAGAAAGGGAGCTGTGTGTACACTTAAAGTCGTGGGTGAGTGCATGAGTGCATTCAGTTGTGTATATGATGTAATGTGGATGTGTATGCATGTGCATTTGTAGGTGCATGCAACTCTTCAGTTTGCATGTGTGCCCACTGTGTGTGCAGCTTTTGTGTGAATTGTGTGCATATTATATATGTAGTATGTACATTTGTACTGTGTACATTATAAAGATCTATCTGTACATCGTGTGTCATGCAAACATTTGTGTATATTATGTGCACAAATATATAAAATGTGGGCATAGAGTGTGTATATGTGGTACCTACTTGTGTTTATACAAATGCATTTCTGTCTGTGCTTGTTTTAGTATGTTTGTGGGTGGTATGCTTAAAGGTGCACCATGACTAGTGTGTATGATGAATTCTATGCACTCTGTGTGTGTACTGTTTATATGTTTATATATCTGTGTGTATTGCACACACAGGGCATGTGTCATGGTTTTCACATGTGTGTACTATGTATACTATGGGGCTCTGATCATGTGTGCATATTTGTGTGAGCAGATATATGCATCCACTCTGTTCTTCCTGGGTTTACAGTGAGGAGCTGCCAGTAAAGCTCTGACCCCCAATCCCGAGGCCCCAGCTGTTTCAAGGTTTATAGCTGGTAGTAGAAATTCAAATCATCCACTGCTGCCTGTGGAGTTCAGTTCCCAACCAAATTAAAACTAAATTTGGTATCAACCCACCTATTTTATACCCTGCAAATGTTAGTGCATGTTTTCCAATCAACTAATATTTTATCTCCCGCCAAGAAGCTTCTAAAGAGAGGATCAAAGACAATAGGATAAAAGGTAGTCAGTTGCTGGGGAGGGAAAAGAGGAGATAGAAACACAGAGGGAGTGCGTCCAGCTTGGCCACCTCAAAGGACCTCCTCATTCAAGGTCAGTGTGGTGGGCATTTCAGCCGCTGCCCTAAAGGCCTGGGAAATTCTCTCTAGAGCATCTAGTTAGCTTGGAGCAGAACTTCCTCAAATCAGGCTTGCACAATAGAAGTCAAAATTGTTAATCTTATATATTGACTATGTTTTCATGCTAAGCACAGATCTGGTCAGAGATCTGCTCAGAGATCTCAGCGTTACATATACAGTGAGGCCACAGGACAGGCAGCCACGAGACCACCAGGGGTCCATGGTCCCAGCTGCCTCTAAGCACTGAAGTGACTCAGCTCTCTTTTATTCAACACCCTTTGGTGTGGTTTAATATGTGCTGGGCCCAGGGACAGTGGTGAACAGACATTCTCCTGGCCTCGGGGAGCCCACAGTGGATAGACATGGGACAGAGGCAGGAAGTGGAAACCCACATCATAGGGTCTTCCTGCAGGAGGGGTGTCCAGGCTGGGGGCAAGACTGGGAGGCTGTTCCAGGTTAAGCAAGCAGTTTGAGCTCTCTGAGTCATTTCTTCATCTGTAAAATAAAAATAATGAGAAAAGCTACATCCTAAGTTATTGTGAGGCATAAATGTGTCTATTGAAGAAAAATGCTGAAGCACAGAGCCTGGCATGAAATATGTGTTAGACATAGCTGATCTGTCATTGTCATCATCCCCAACACCGGGACAGCATGAACTGGGAAATGTAGTGTGTGAATCAGGATACAGGCAGAGGGTTACACATCCAAAATGGTTTGATTCTGCTAGGACAGGGCAAACCCATCAAAACCTGTGGCCAGAGGTCAGCGCAGGAGTTAGCACCTGAAGATGCTTCTGTTTCAAAATCAGAGTTTGAACTCAACAGAAGGATCATGGGGATGCTTTACAGAGCAAAGAGACATGGCCTGATGATTACATTACAGGAATCTCTGTATCCTTTCTTGAGATAACCAGACGGCCAGCCTCTCAGTAGAATCATCTCTAACTCCCACTGGCTTCCCAAACCACCGACACTGTTTTTGCATCCTTAATCACCACTGCCACTGCTGGTGCCACTTCTGGATTGTCATTATTGGTCATAAGTAGCTGAACTAACCTGGAGTAATTCCATTACAGTGGTGATGGTAGTAATCCTTAATGATTGCTTATAGACCATTCTGAAGGCTTTCTATTCCATGCTAAGGATATGGAATTTATTTCCAGAGTCTAAAGTTACAAATTGGCAGCCCAAAGGCCTAATTTACTCCGCAAATTGTGTTTTGTTTTCCACAAAATGTAACTTTAAAAAAAAGGAACTTCCATTTAAAATAGGAATATTTTACATTAAAAATACCTATGTTTTCACATTTGCTTGAAAAATTAAAACATCCAGCATATCCTTGTTCTGGAGATAAAGCAATCTTTTCATACTTCAGTCCAGGCTACAGGCTGGTAATTTTTTTAGTTTTTGGCTGATCCCACATTCAGGGCACCTGACTGGTCCTGGAAGCTGTGCAGAACTCAGACTGCTGTCTGAGCTGAGGGACAGGTGGGCTGGGGAGTGGCTTTTTGCCCAGGGTATGATCTGCACCAGGTCTGCTTGCAGTTTGGGGGGCAGGGCAGGCCCTGAGTCATCCGCTTTCCCTCCAAAAACTCTCTCCTGCTCTGCTGTTTGGTACCACTAGGTGGAGACCCTGGACACACAGGAAGCTGGGGTGGTGCAAAGCAGGGGTCACAGACCTGTGGGAGGGGTCGTGACTCCTGGAGAACAAAATGGAAGTTTGTCATAAGACCTCTCTCTCTCTCTCTCTCTCTCTCTCTCTCTCTCTCTCTCTCTGACTGTGTCTTACACTCCACAAGATCCCGAAGCCGGCCCCGAAAGTCTCATCGTCACCGCCATCACCGCTGTCCCTCCAGGTCCCAGAGCTCAGAGTCGCGCTCCTCCAGCTATGAGAACAGGTAACCCTTTGCCCAGTGGAGCCCGATCGATCATCCATCCCACTTGGGTCCTGAACACAGGCTAAGACGATAACAAGGTTATCCCCAGCGGCTGCCCCTGCCCTGTGCTCAGCAACTGACTTCCTCAGAAAAGGGCTGCAGTGCAGACGGGGCTGCCTCACTGACCGCATGGACAGCAGCACTAGGGATCCCAGATGCATGCTCTCTGAGTGCCCATGAGGCCGCACTTTGTATACAGATCCACAAGGTCCGCTCTACACCTCCATTGAAGAAGGTACTGTTGTTACTTTCTTTGTAAAGATGAAGAAACAGAGATGCATCACTGACACTGATGTTACAGCTGTGAAAACTGCCTCTTGGTGGGCAAAGAGACTTACAAGTACAAAGCACAAGGCACAAGATGAGAAACTTGTTCATCGCTTAGCACTAAGCGACAGACCAAGCGTGACAAAATAGCATCCTTCACTAAGGGATGCTCAGAGCAGAGACACTAGGCACCTATAAAAGGTCACACAGCACAAAGTACCAATTTATAAAGCTCTTCCGATCACTTTTCTCCTGCCTCAGACTGTGTCTGTGCTGATACACTGACTCCCCGCCTGAGAAGGGGAGAGGGGTTCTCCTGGGGATGAGAAGAGGAAGGAGCAAGAGAAGAAAAAGGAGAGAGACAAGAATAAGAACCAAAAGGCAGTAGGGTTTTGTTGATGGTGATGTTTGGGGTGCCGAAGTCCAGCAGAAACATCACGCCCAGATCTGATGTCAGGGGCTGCTTGTCTCCCTCTGAAGTGCGTCTCACGCTTCACTGCAGGTTCACGACGCCTGGAGAGGTTCTAGAATCTCGGTATCTGGGTCCCACCTTACGCTAGTGAAATCAGAAGGGCCGAAGGAAAGGACAAGAGTGACCGCATGAAGGGGAGAAGGTGGGAGAGGAAAGAGGAAAAGAAACAGAAAGAGCAAGGGGCAGGAGGGAAGCGCAGAAAAACAGAGTGAGGGGGGAGAGGAGGAGTAAGAAGGGAAGGAGGAGGACAAACGGAAGGAAGAGGAAAGGAAAAGGGGACAGGAGGAGGACGAGAGAGGGAGAGGAGGAGGAAGAAAAAAGAGCAGATTTACCCAAACCCTGCTGTGTGCCAGGCACTGGGCTACAGTTCCAAATACTTTTTCTCTCTTAATCACCCAAATAATGCCATGACCTAGACCAATGCTTCTCCACCTCAGCTGCACTTTTCAATCACACCAGGAGTTTTTAAAAAAATGACAGTGCCTGGGTCCCACCTTCGAGCCACCTTCCTGTGATTCCGACACAGTGGTGTCAGGGCAGTGATGTGCTTAGATCTCCCCAGGCATCATAAGCCCACAGTTCCATGTGGGAAGCAGTAGAGACAGTAGCCTCTCATGTCCCCTGTTATGAGCTGACCTTGGTATCCCTGCTGAACACTGGTGGCCAATACCACCATCAGATGAGCCTATGCTGTGACCCTGATTGTGCAAGACAAAAATGGGACACCTCTGTAGTCAGATCGGTGCCCAGAGGGAACAAGAACTTTGTCCCAAACACAGCATTGTTCAAATGCGTGTCTAGCTAGCTAATTTGAGTAGCGCCTGCTTCTTAGGCAGTTCGGTTGTTGGCCTTGGCCTAGTCCTCTCTCTCTCTCTCTCTCTAAATAAGAAGGAGGTAAGTGCCTGGTCACTGAATTACTCTGCTTTCTGCATGCATCTAATTCAGAAGAGAGCCCTAGTCCCTTTGGCTCTCCCAAACCACCTACTACAAGCCAAAGATGATGGTAGGCTCATCCTAACATCCTCTTACGGAAACATGCTGCATCCCCCTGTGGTATGCATGCCCCATCTGCAAGGCTTGTTCTGACATGCGTGGGTTCCTGAGCTAAACCACATCACTGACAACTTATAGCTGAGAAAACTGCCTCCTGGTATGCAGAGACCTAAGGGAGGTCCCACAGCTAGAATGTTGGGACAAATAGTTCTGGGGGACTCATCCTGATTGCTCTACCTCCAAATTGCTCTTCCTGGTTAAGTACTCCTGGCTTAGGCCAGAGGATTGTGCAGAGACTCAGCAACTTACCTGCCAGAGAAATGGTTCACACGGCAGACACTGGCCCTGGGCACCCTGCTGCTGTCCAGCTCCTGGTGGTGCTGCTTCTTGAGTGCCTGTTGAGTTAAAGGGTTCCCCAGAAGGCCTGGGAGTAAACCAAAAATTAGCACATGGGATATATACTCACTAGAAAAGGGATCTGGAAGAGCCCAGAGCAGAGAAGGACTGTCCAGAGCCATAACCAGAGAAATGAGGTCATTTCCTAAAAGTGCAGAAAACTGTTGTGGCCCTGCTATTTTTAAGATGTGTGACCTCAGAGATCTCAGCTCTTTGATCTGCAAAATGGGAAGATAGTACTTGACCTTCAAGTTGTAGGGGCGACTCTGAAAGTACCTTAGGAAGGGTTTCTAGGTGCTGACCAAATCCATATGATATTATTTCCATTTCCTATTGTGTCTCAGCGAGTTGATGGAACATGCATCAAATGCGCCCATTTCAATGATCATGCACCCCCTCGTTTCAGTACACACAAGGCAGCCAGCTCTAAACATAACAAATTTGCATGACCTATTTCGGTATTTTTGTCCAGTCACTTTTCCCCCAATATTCTGAGTAACATTGAATGTTCTGCCTTCATTTCACAGAAGGAACACAAACAGTTACATTTATAGACAAACCCATGGAAACTCTGACAGGCATGCCCAAACATGGTCACATGGCAGAAAATCACACAGGCATGAAGGAATCAAGAAAGACCTTTGCTCTATTCACAGATGAACCTCAGCCACCAAAATAGTGTCAGGTACAAGAATAAGCAGGGCCAGGTGTGGTGGTACGTGCCTGTAATCTCAGCAGTCGGGAGGCTGAGGCAGGAAGATTGTTGTGAGTTTGAGACGAGCCTGAGCTACAAAGTGAGCTCAAGGCCAGCCTGTACTCCACAGTGAGATCCTGTCGTGAAAAGACCAAAACAAAGGGGGGGGGGGAGTTATCAAGCCATCAAATGAGATAATGAATGAATGAATGAATGAATGAATGAAAATTGAATGGATGAATAGATGGATGACTGGAGATGGATGGATGAATGCATGGGCAGAGGGGGGATGGGTGAATGGGCAGAAGGATGGATGGATGGATGATGGATGGATCAGTGGGTAGGCAGATGGATAGATAAACACCCAGTCTAGTTTTCATGCACACACTTTCAGACATACCCAGGGACTAAGTTATATGAACATGTGCAAACACGCTATCATGTTGATCCCTCAATCTCCTCTCTACCCTGCTCACCTTCAAAAGACCCTCAGGTCTCTCTCCTCTGCCTCCAGGCACCGAGGCCGGTCTCCTGAGGAAGGGCGGAAGTCCCGCCACAGGCACTCCCGCCGCTGCTCCAAGACCCTCGGCAAGGCCAGCCCCGAGGCCCGGTCCAGCCACCCTCCCAGCCAGCCTCTCCAGATGCTCAGCTTCCTGTCGTCCAGGGGTGTAGTAAGTATTCTGAACAGCCTCCTCTGCCAGTCTTGCCACAACATTTGGGGGAGGTGGAGGTACAAGTTCAGGGCAATGTATGACACATTTTAATTCAGTTTCGGGCAAAATATCCCACTGGCTCCAGACATCATTAGTGATGAACCAAATGGTCATTCAGCAGCCTTTGGCAGCACTTGCCTTGGGGATTTGGGGAGCAGAGGAAGAAAAACTAAAATACTCAGAATCTTTTATCGGGGGATGTTCTATAATAAATATTGGTCTTCAGAGTGACACCTGCAAGACTACATGTGTGAGATATCACAGGAGATTTGTTTGACAAGGGAAGGGAACAAGGGTCTTTGACAGGACAGAAGCTCTAGTTTTTACTCAAATTCTGCATCTTTTATGCCAGCTGGCTGGCAGCATTTGTTGGCAGCTGGAATTTGATTCCAGCTATAAATGTGACCTTGAATTTATATGAAAATTTTCCTCTAAGGAGCTCATAATACTTGACCTGTCTCTTCTCATGTGTCCGCACAAGGTCTTGAGGACTTGGGGGAACAGCTGCTGTCAGTCGTCCCTTCCACATATGAAACAGAAATACCAAGCTCACAAAGGTTAAGACATAGGGTGAAGTCACAGAGCGAGGCAAGAGCAAATCCAGTTTAACAAAATGGCCCTGGGTTGTGTCTGCCGTGTCCCCCTGGGTTAACAAGGAGCTGGAACCTGATTTCACTGTGAACAAGAGCTGCAGGGATGGTTCTGAATTGAAGTCCTAGCTTTGCCATTTGCTAGCTGTGTGACTTTGGGCAAGGGACCTGGCCTCAGTCTTCTCATTGATAAACTTGAAGTCATATCGCTTCCTATGGGACTGTTGAGGTTCTCCAACAAGAGAAAGTAGGTGAAGGCTTATTATAGACTCCAATGGGAGAAACACCCAAGGAGGGGAAGCGTCAATGCTGGCACAGCCATACTTGCAGCCAACAGCTGCAAAAAGACCTGTTTGTCCAGCTATATGAGGTCTTAAAAACTTCAGAGAGTTTTTCCTTTAAAAAGGATAAGGTAGAAGCAAGAAAAAATTCAGGATGGCTTGCAGGGTGGTCAAGAAATGTGAGGCAGTGATAAGCCACAGAGAGCCCTGAATGATACAATAGTTACCCACAGACCATTCTGGGGAAACTCATCTTCTTCAGGCAAGCCACCTTGTCTCTCCAAGCTCTCATTTGGCTTCCTATTGCCTACCTGGACCATCCACAACTCTCCCCAGATGCCTTCTTTGTGAGGAGGCCCATGGTTACTGAGTACTTAGAGGAGGCAAGTATGCACATGCATTCTCTCCTTCCTAAGCGTCCTAAAATGGGTTTCTCAGCCAGGTGTGGTGGGGCATGCATCACAACTTCAAACACAGCCTGGGAAATTAAGGAAAATCCTATAGGAAAGGAAGAGAGAAAGACAGACACACAGGCAGGCAGACAGACAGACAACAAAAGAAAGAGAATGAGAAAGAAGGCTGAAGATGTAGTTCAGTCCGTGGGCCCTGAATTCAACTGCAAATATCAAAAAAGAAAGGGAGGTTTCTACAGCAAAGAATCCAGAAGCCTGGATGCAAGTTTTGGCTTGGCTAAATGGATCATTTTACCCCTTCCAGCCTCAGTTCCCTCAACTGAGAAATGGGCGTGGTTATCCCACGTGTCTCCCACGAGCAAAGGTAAAAATAAATTTGAAATACAAGCAATAAAATGTAGAAGAATGTTTCTGAATTCGCTAGGGCTGTCTCTGGTCGTAGTATTTGTGGCAGCTAATCTGGCAGCCCCAAGTGACCCTAATACTAAGCACCATTGGAAACGACTTATACCGTAGGGCAGGAATGTTTTCCTAACAAGGCCAAGTCTGTCAAGGTGCTGCAGAAAGCTGGATCTGCTCTCCCACACCAGCCACTTATGTGACCAGGTTGGCTCCTGGCAGTTATTCATCCTAAAACACACAGGTGTGGGATGGCTTTGGAGTAAGATGCTTCAGTGTCCCACATGAGCCAAGCACTTATCAGAAGAGCTGAAATCCAAGGGTCATCTGTGCCGTCCATGCTCAATCCTTTCTCATCTTTTCTCTTACCAAGGCAGAGATGAGAGAAGACTCCAGGTTGGACCAAAGATTTATCAAGAGTCCTGGCCCCAAGGTTTGTCTCTCTGTTAGAGAAAACAGCAGAGACTTTAGGAGTTCACCTAAGCCCATTGCCCTAATTAGCATGCATGAAAATGAGGCACACAGAAAAGAGAATTCCATGGTTTGATGATAAGGTGGACTTGTTAAAAGCAATGATCAAAACCTGGTTTGAAGCTATGTGTTAGTTACTTAAACCTTTCTGAGCCTCAGTTTCATCATCTTTAAAATAATAATAGCAATCATAATAATAGATAAAGCCAGTCTCTTATTCAAAAGACAATTTTGAACCCAGTGCTTAACCCAGGGGCAAAACTCAGTGAATATTAGTAATGTGATGATAATACCATTCCAGGTCCCAGGTCTGCACTTGAGCACCTGTGGAATCTTGAGCAAGTTGTAGAAACTGTGTCTCATTTTCCTTTGAATCACAAAAACAACCAAGACTGATCGAATGAGACTGCCAGGACTTCAAGGGAATAAAAATGGTGGGATGTGATAGACCTGTAGTAAGTCTATCTAATGTTTGCTGCTAGCAGGAGCAGCGGCACAGTAGTGATAACAGAGGTGGCAGTGATAACAATAGAGAGGGAAGAGACCAGTTTCTTTCTGTCCAGATAGCAGCTGCAGCCCAGATGACTATGTTTACCACCTCCAAGTTGCCTGGCTCCTGGAAGAGTCAGACACTCCTTGAATCTGATCCTCTGAGTTCCTTCCGCACTCAGACCTTTCTCATCTTCTCTGTTACAAGGGCAGACATAGAAGAAGGCTACAGGCTGGACTAACGGTGCTCCAGAAGTCTGGCCCTAAGGTTTTTCTCTCTGTTAGAGACAACAGCAGAGGCTGTTTCATGGAATCTCCTGTCAAACAGTCATTCAGGTCTATCAGCATCTAGTGAGCATCTACAGCTGATCAGGGTCTGCTTTGGGTTTGGAGAGCCTATGAGTAAAACTGAAACAGCCCTAACGGGGAGAGACAGACAGTACACAACAATCGATGCTTGGATTGGGGAGAAGGTTAGCAGGCAGAGGAAGGGATTAGGAGTCAGGTCGGCAGAAGAAATAGCCATGAGCCGAGAAATGAAGGAGCAGAATTTAGCCAATGAAAGGGAAAAATGAAAACTGGAGATGAGGTTTGAGATACAGTTGCAGACCTCTGGAGGTGAATAGGAGCCTGAGCACGAAGGGTCTTCTACACCATGGCTCCTGCCACACTCACCTGCTAGCATTTAACATGTACAGCTCTTTAAAATATCAAGGATGGGTACATTACATCAGTGGGGCTCATTTGTATATATGACTATGTAAATGTAGGGCTTGACTATTACTAGCTGGTGGGCTCATTTGCATATATGACTATGCAAATGTAGGGCTTGACTGTTACTAGCTGGTGAGCTACAGTAACTTGCGACTCTGTTGTTTGGACAGAGCCCTGAGTCAAATAGAAGGTCCTATGGAGACGGGGTAGGGCCCCTTAATAACCTACTCATGGGCCTTATTTTCCCTCAACCATTTCTGTTTCAGGCACCAGGGAGATGAAATAAGTAGTCTTCTTTAACTCCTAGAGCTCACAGTCTAGCAGCCAACACAAAGCTACAATATAGAGCTAGAGTGTTATTCTCAAGGTTCAGATCAAGTCCGTGAGCACCCATGCTGATTCTGCCTGTGAAAATCTTCAAATATTTGCATGCCAGTTGGCAAATAGTCCCTGTCACCAGCTCACTCCATCCCCAGTCAACCCATCCATCCCTTTCTTCCCCTGACATTTTCTGGACCTCCTCACAATCCAGCCACTAAAATGTGACATTTAATCCCCTTCAACATCCAGGCCAACATCTGTTCTAGTGAGGTAATGCCTAGACCCAAGTGAATATTGATAATTTTAATGTCACCTCTGGCAGTGATGGAAGCAAGTACAATGTACAGGGGAAAGGTCACAAAATGTTGTCTTGATGTCCTGGGCTTTGAAGAATGGGTAGGAGTTCATTAGTTTGAGATGGTTGATGGCAGGAAGAAGGGAGAAATACTACTATGTGCCAGGCATTGTCACATACTTGACACAGTTTGCTCACTTGATCCACATTAACAGTTCTTTGAGAGAGATGCAATTATTATCATCATTTTACAGATGGGAAAATTGAGGCTCTGAGAGGCAAAGTGACCCCGGAAGGTAGCCCAATTGGGAGAAAATAGGGCTGGTATGGATCAGGGCTGTGCCTTGGAAACTTACTGTGACAGCCAGCATGGAAGGCGGGTGGGAGGAATAAAAGGCTAAGGGCCATGGTGTGGCCAAGCCCTTTCTCTGTCAAGTGGCCCATACTGGAAGGGGCCTGATCACAGAGGAGTGCGCCCAGGAGAAGGGCAGGATTCTTTCTTTCATGCATTTAGCTTGGGCCAATAGTGGCCTCGTACGTCTTGTCACCAAACACCTGCACAGATGACAAGACAAAGAAAAGATCAGAGAACTTGGTATCCAATAAAGAGATAGCTGTAAGCTGAGAAGGCAAAACAGCACGAGTGATGAAGGCACGGGAGCAGATCCGAGCTCTCTGGAATCCTCATTCCTGTCTCCCTGTGAGGCTGAGGGTGACAGCAACAACTGATGCTTATTGAGCAACTATTATGCACCAGAAGCCTGACTGAATTCTTTATATGAATCTTAGTCACTTATTTTGTATAATAGCCCCATAGGACAACTGCCACGCCTACCTCCTTTTCTAGACCACAGCCTAGAAAAATCAAGGAAAGAAAGCTAGGTTTTGAACCCAGAAAGTCTCACCTCAGAATCCATGTGTTTCATTACAACCTCCCTTGGGTCATTTCACTTTTGTACATCTCAGCGTCCTCCTGTGTGTCTGA